ATTCCATTCGACCTAGCGAATCACTTTCCAGCTGACTTCCTGAAAGAGTTAAAGACATCATGTTACAGTGATACATGTATACCCTTGCACAGAGCAGCACAATTCATAATTGCTAACTCTTGGAAATAACCCGTATGTTCAAGACATGAAAGCATAAAGAACTTTGTGGTATTTACACACAGTGGAGCAATACTCTGCCATAAACGAGGATGAACTTGAGTCACTTATAGGAAAATGGATTCCATAATGTTAAGTAAAATAAATCAGGCAAACAAGCTGAAATATCACATGGTTTCTCTTATGTATGAAACCAAAATATAAACAAATTGCTGAGCAAAATAAGATGTAATAGAAAACAAGGAGATAGATCTTTTGCAAATGGGTAGGGAGACCAAGATATTGACAGAGAAGAAAGGAGGGGAGTAGAAGGGGGTGAAAAACTAATTAAGGGGAGCAGTAAGCAGCAACAAATCAACCTCTCTAAGATTCAGAATCCAGACACCGGAAACTAACAACTTGTAGAAGAAAAGAAGAAGGTAGGTGGATCCCAGGGACCCAGGAAGGATGGGAAGGGAAACTTGGAGCCCACAGGGAGAGGTAAGAACAGACCTAAACCAGGAAAAGGATGGGACAATCTGCACTTTTGCCCAGGGTTCTAGCTACTGTAGTGAGAAGGGAGGATGGAATCTACAGAGACACAGTGAGAGTGAAAGCAGGTGACTCCAGAGGCCTTTAGGGAAAATGAACACGTGGAAGCACTCTGCAAGAGCTGGGGATGGACTCCAGTCCAAGTGACTGCTGTGTCCCCTGGAGACACGGCTCGGTTGGCCGCAATTTTAGGGAGGAGCCAACTGAACCCAGAACTCAAAGCAGCTTTAGGTTGGCTTCATCTCAGGGCTCCCAGTGTTAAAAAGCCACAGTGACTGGGAGAGGGACCACCACGGGAGACATCCAGGGTCAGGAAGGCGTGGTCAGGCCAGCAAGAGACACCCAGAGTGTGTAAGCTAAAGGACTCATAAAGAACCTGTACATAAATAATCATGGAAGTTTTATTCATACTTGCCAAAGCTTGTGAAGCACCAGAGGTTGAGGAGATGGAGGAACTGTGGCATATCCATCTGATAGAATACTCAGCAATAAACAGAAATGAGCCATCAGGCCACGAAAAGACATGGAGGAGTGTTAGATCCATACTGTTTAGTACAAGAAGCCAGTCTGATCATAACTGTGTGATATTCTAGAAAAATTACAATCATAAAGAAAAACATAATAGGCATGCTGGTGCACAGCTATAATGCTATGCCAGTATTCTTAAACACCATAGCAAAATGATGGCATTTTTCAGCCTAGATTGGACAATTTAGCAATGCAGCAAGATCCTTTTTAATAACTAAAAAAAAAAAAAACAAACAACAACAACAAAAAAAAAACAGAAAAAAACATTGAAAAGCGGTGGCGATGAACTTTAGTGAGAAAACCCTGTGTTCAATCCTCACTACCACAAAATTCGATAAATAAATGAATAGATTAAGAGTGCAACAACAGGCTGGGTTTCTTGTTGATATTCTTAATCGTAGCCCATGTTTATGGCATGCAATGTCCAGGTTCACTGAGGTTTTTAGGACCTTGGACGTGGCATACCTTCACTCTACCCATTTCCCCATCGCATCCCCTCTTGCCTGGCCATCAGACACCAGGACTCCTGCCCATGTACAAGAGACCCATCCGCCCCTCTCATTCCAGCCTTTCTTTATGCTTCCCTCAGTGTGTACTTTGCCTTCCGCAGATGCGAGGCACCATGAGGTACTCAAGAACAATCAAAGGATGAATGTGGCTAGCATCTCTGTTCATTGAGTTTCAAGTTTTCAAGGTGCACTTTTCTGGGTTTTGTTTACTTGCTGTGGTTTATCTGACAATAGATGAAAATTTCTTCATGGAAGAAATATGTGTTCAAGTATGGAACACAAGTTTGCAAAACAGCATTGGGAGGAAATACTGTTCTTCCATTTCTAAGTTAAAGAAAAATGGAGGAGAGGGCTAGAAAAGAGAAGGGAAGAGGGGGGAAAGGCAGCCCCCTGAGAGAATCAAATGGCAGAGTTCCAGGTTTAAAGATATCCCTTAAGAAACAGCAAATGCACAACACACCATGTTAAGATTAGCACAGCAAAAGTTCTGTACTCGAAATCCTGCAAATAAGGACGGAGTCTGAAGCAACCTGGGAGCAGAGGGCTCTGTCTCACTCATCTGTCTATGCAACCTCTTTCTCTGGTAGGGCTTTTCCCACACAGGTGCAAGCTTGTCCTTGCTCGTGTTTATTTGGCATCGGTGAGACAACACTGCGCTGTGCTTTCGGATACCGGCCATTGGCCAGGTTCTGGAGCTACCCCTTCCAGACCCCCTCCGAACCCCTCCTGTTCCTCCTGGAGCCTGTTGGGCAGCAGAGCGCTCGAGTTCTCCACCCATGTCACGCACTAGGCATTGCCGCACTTGAGGTTTCTGCTATCTTTCCTGGGCAGCACGAGGTTTTAGTCAAATATACCTGGGAATGGTAGCACCCTGCTGTGTGATGCTGTGCCTCCTTTTGTCACCAGAACATCCCTGCACACGCCCAGCACATTTTCACCCTTTCACAGACTCGGCCTCTCCCAATGTGGTCAAAGGAGAAGCTGTTATCCATCTCGCAGTGTGAAATTCAGTCTCACCCAAAAGTCTGAAATCTTTCCATGTGTCCAGAGGCCTAGTACCATCAACTGCTTTCCTTCTTTCCTTCTTCATTCCTCCTGAATAAATCCTAGTAAGCTGGCTGCTAGAGGGACTCACAGCACCAACATCCCTAACAAGGTGTCCAGTATCCGTCACTCCAATACAGTGCAGAGCAGGTTCACCCACTGCTCCAAATAGCCCCTGTGCTCCCCCAATTCATCCTTCCTCCCCCACCGATCTCCTGGCAGCTGCTCATCACAAGTCTGGATTGATGAAGATTTCTGGGAGAAAATCATTTTGTAAAGGATGTGATTCAGGCTTTGACAGTGAATGCTTTCAGAAGAAGTGAATTATTTAAAACATTTAGTCTTGTGAAGATTGTAGCTTTCCTCAGAAAATACATGCATTTCAAATGGGCACCGACTATAAGAGTCTCCTTGTCTCTCGTTCTTCAACCCCCATTTCCACCACCCTGATCTCTGTTGCAGTCCTCTGGCTGTCAGCCCCGCACCTTCCCAGGCAGGTGCACAGCCTGGTATTGCAGAGGGGGTAGAGATGGAAAGCTGACTGCCCCCAGAGCCCACAGCACACAAAGGACTTAATTCCTGCAAAGGATGGGTCTGTTCCATGCCAGTGACTCTTGGATTGATCTGTGCTGGGCTTGCACAGCACCCAACCTCTGCAAACCCAGTTCCACTTGTTACCCACACTCTCCTGTGTTTCCTGCTCCCCTTGATGTCAACTCAAGAAATGCAGGGTGCTCCCAGGGAACAGAGCACCAAGAGCACTGTGCCAATCAGCGGTGCAGGCCTGGAGCTTTGCTCTTTAGAACTAAAGCACGGGACCACCAGCTACGGAGCAGATAGAGCAGTCACTGTTGCAAAATTGTTTGTTTGTTTCTTTGTTTGTTTTGAGGCAGGCTGGCCTTGAATGCGATTATGTAGCCCAGGCTGGCCTTGAGCTCACAGCAATCCTCCTGACTCAGCCTCCTGAGTGCTGGGATTACAGGTGTGCACCCCCAGGCCTGGCCCCAAAATTGGCTTTTAAAATGGAACTAATGCAAAGTATTCCTTCTGTCTTTTTCCCTCCCCCGCTCACTCGCTCACTTTGTTTTTTGAAACAGGTGGTTCTCCTGCCTCAGCCTCCCAGGTATATGGAATTACAGGTGGTAGGTTTTCCGTCAAAAACTTTCTCATTAAAAATTTCCCCAAAAGCTCAGCATGGTGGTGCATATCAGTAATCCTAGCACTCAGGAGGCTGAGGCATGAGGATGGCCTTGAGATTGAGGTCAGCCTGAGGAGTATGAGGCCAGCCTGAAATACATAGCAACACCTTTTCTTAAAAAAAAAGAAAGAAATTTTTCAAAATTCTCATTCCAACTCATATAATTTTTCAGACTCAATTTAGCTCTTGGACCTTACCCACCACCATTGGTTTTACATAAAATATATCTGTGTCATCCACTTTTCCATTTCACATTATTTCACATAACTTCCCTTAAATTAAAAAAAAAAAAGTTTTCACGATCTGATGAATTAGTTCTTAGGAAAATCTCAGAGGCCATCAAACTAGTGGGAGACTGGATTCAGAATTTCCAAACAAACTCATGTGCTTTCAAAAATCCAAATCAATAAAGCAGCATTAGAATGCTGTTTAAATACAGTGTGTGATTAGTATGCACAGTGACCTTTCACCATCAATTGCTGGGCTGGCTTAAGATGGACTAACTTAAGCGATTGCACACTGAGGGCATTCCAAAAGCCTTTTCCTGGAGAAATTTGCTGGACATGAGTGGTGGGAGCGCGGTGGGGCTGAGAATGCAGTGTTTCTTTGGGCTGAGAATTCCCCTGGAGTACATCAGGCTCAAGTCATTCAGAGAACGTGTGTCTTTTCAGCTAAATGGACGATCCGTTGTCTTCCACACCATAGCTCACTCTCACTGGCCATATACCCTCCTTGTTTTGCTTGGGACCTCAAAGAAAACAACAGTGGTATATGATATGTGCACATTCATACCTACAAACATGTATGCACATATACAATTACACATTGAAAGCATTCAAAACACATGCAGAATCGGTTGTGTTAGTCTTAAGGCTAGTCAGTAAAACATATCCTGTATTGCATGGTCTTCCCCTTGAGATATTCCAAGTTTGTTCGAGGCTGAGAAAAGACTGGTTCTCCTGCCAGGTTTGGAACTCAGAAACCTCTCTCGGAACCGAAAAGATGCTCCTACTTGGTTCTCTAACCGGCTAATTTATATCGACGCACACAGCCCTTCCCTTCAGCAGGAGGAGCCCTTGCGTCCGGGGGAAGGATTTCACAACGTACCCGGAACTGTTTCCAAGGTTTCTACAGGTTTGGGACCTTACTCGCTGGCGGGTTCAGGGAACCAAGGCAACAGAGATCTTCCCAGGGTCGCCAGAGCGCCCCCTTGTCCCGCCGCTTTGGGGTCACAGCTGTAGCGATGGCGCGGGTGTCCCGGTCGCGCAGCCCTGAGGGCGAGGCCTCGGGCTCCGGGGAAAAACGTCGCAGTTTGTCGAAGAGCCCCAAGCCCAGCAAATCCTCCCGCTCCCCGCGGGGCCGCCGGTCTCGCTCGCGCTCTTGTTCTCGCTCTGGTGATCGGAATGGCCTCGGCCATCAGCTGGGTGGCCTCAGCCAAAGCTCTCGAAACCAGTCGTACCGCTCCCGCTCGCGGTCGCGCTCTCGAGAGCGACCCTCTGCGCTGCGCAGCACCCCCTTTGCTTCTGCCTCCTCGTCCGCCTATTATGGCGCCTACTCGCGCCCCTACGGGAGCGACAAACCGTGGCCCAGTCTCCTGGACAAGGAGAGGGAGGAGAGCCTGCGGCAGAAGTGAGTGAGGGCGCCACGCCTTCCCGTGTGGGAACCCACCTGTCCATGGAGTCTGTTTTATGGTTCATTCTGTGTCTGACGATCTCTTGGCATTTCGCCCACCCTCTCTGCCTCCAGCCCATTTTCATCCCTTTCTTCAGTCCACCCCCGGCAACCTTTCATTCGTTCTTTTCTTCCCTTAAATTTTCATTTCTCCTCGGGGCTCTTCCTACCTGCTCTGGCTTCCTGACACCTCCTTTCCCCTCCGGGATTCTTGGCAGATATCGCGGGGAGCCCAGACGTACCGGAATTGTAGCATGTACATTACTTGGTCGGTTATTATCATTGGCGAGCATGGTTTTGTTCCTCAGTAAGCTGAACTCCTGCAAAGGAAAGCCGTTTTTTCCATCACAGAATTCACAGTGCCCATTGTAGGAAATTGGGAAGGGTTGAAATTAAGGTTTGAATTGGAGAGGAGGGAAACCTACCCTCTCACAAGATGTTTAGGTGAATGTGGGAAAAGTGAGCATGAGCTGTAGATGAAGTTTCCTGTAGATGAAGGTCCTGTTAAGTGGTCTCAATGTCCACCTTGAAAAATGATGCCGGGGTGAGATCAGATCTCTGAGAGTGAATATTGGAGCAGGAATGTGCATAGTTTAAGAAGGAGAAAGGAAGAGGCTTGTAATTATTGGTATGTGAGCCGTAATATCTAATTTTACTAAGTGTTAGGCATTGTACTAAGCCATTCACTACGTGGTGGTTTTTTGTCTGTTTGTTTGTTTAGTCAGGGTCTCACTATATAGTTCAGGCTGCCCATCTGTAGCCCTTATGGCCATCCTCCTGCCTCAGCCACCGGAGTCCTGGGATTACAGGTATGCGCCACTACACGCGGCCTCACTAAGTGTTTAAAAAACAGGAAATGTTGCAAGTATTATAGGTATTGAGAGACACGTTAAAGTTCCAACAATGGAGAGATGCCTTCATGATTCTTTTTCTTCCAGCAGTAAGAAATAATAAATTATGGTGATAAGAAGGGCAGGTCCCACAATCAGACTGAGTTTGAAGCCTTTATTTGCCACTTTATTTGCATTGTAGCCTTGGGCAAGTTGCTTAACTTCTCTGAGCTTCTTTTTGTTTTGTTTTGGTTTTGGTTTGGTTTTTTTAGACAAGGTCTTGCTGTGTAGTCCAGGCCGAACCTTCAACTCACTATGTAGCCCAGGCTGGCCTCTAACTCTCAGAGAGCCTCCTGCCTCGGCCTCCCAAATTCTGGGATTACAGATGTGTGCCACCATGCCTGGCTTCTGAGCTTCATTTCTTCACCATTAAAAAGGAAGTAGGAGCTGGGGGTATAGCTCAGTGGTAGAGTGCTCATCTAACATACTCAAAGTCCTCAAAGCTGGGTTCCATCCCCAGCACTGCAGCAAAAAAAAGGGAAGAATAAAATTAGTACTAAGGTTTTTAGAGTTGTAATAATTTAGTGCCTAGGATATAAATATTCCATAAATTTTAGCTGGTAGTGCTTCATGAATAAGACCAGAAACAGTAACAAACCAGTGAGGTTAAAAACCTATCTCTTTCAGCCAGGTGTGGTGGCACACGCCTGTAATCCCAGCACTCAGGAGGCTGAGACAGGAGGATAGCTGCCAGTTCGAGGCCAGCCTGGGCTATGTAAGTGAGTTCAAGGCCAGCCTGCACTACATGGTGAGACCCTGTCTCAAAACAAAACAAAACAAACTATCTTTCCAAGTTAAATTCAGGAAGGTACTCACAGAATATGTTCATGAAAAAGCCAATGGTTTCTTACCTCACCAAAAAATGTCAGAACTGCTTAGATGAAATTTTCAGTTGTAATTCATAAGATAATTTATCTTTACAGATAAAACCAGGTGGCAACAGGTATGAGAACAGGACTTAGTGATTTTTACAGTTCGGGAGGCATTCTTCTCCCATACGCCTTTATTCCAAGTATAGTTATATCCCTTTTAGATTGTTTGTTTCTTCTAAGCAGGAAAGTTGTCCTGTATAAAATAAAAAACTCAAACCAATTATATTTATTTTGTAAGAATTTTTAAAGACAAATGGAGTCATAAGCAGTCAAATGTTAATGAACTGAGCCTTAGGGATTTGGGGTTTGTCTTATTTTACTTTATGAATGATAGCAAAATTTAAAATGAGAAACTACAAACGTTGTAAAAGAAAACAATTACTACCCTCCAAAGAGTAAAAATGTACTCCTTTTCCAAAAAGGAACTAAAAGGAGACAACAAACTTCATATCTGACAGTACAATTTTTGTCAAATGAATTTTTCTTCCATTTTCAGAACTCTGTTTTCTACTTCTAATGCTACATTTCTGTTTTATTCCTAGATTCCTAAAAACTGAAGGCTTGACCAAATCAAAAGAGACTTCTCTTTACTTTTATAATCATATATAAACAAATGAAGTTATTTCCAAATGCAAAACTGTTTTCTGTCACATATTGCAGACAAATGAGCAATTAGAAGCTGTGTGACGCATTTGGTACAAGGGATGCCCTTGACAGTCTCCTAGGCTGCCATTTCTGACCTCACCATTAAGGCTGTGTATAGTTTGTACCATTTGATGGTATTCTCAGAGCATCAAATCCTAAGCAGTGAGTTTCTGTTTAAAGCAAGGTTTTGTTAACTTTTAAAATACATAGGGGAAGCCAGGAAACTGAGGCCAGATGATCTCTTCAGCCCGGAAACTTGAGGGCAGCCTGAAAAACAGCAAAAACCTATCTCAAAAAAAGAAAGAAATGAAACCTATAGGAAAAATAGGCTTAACTGGAATCCTGTTGAATTCGATTATATGTAATATTTAGGAAATATTCAATTGAGTTATAATTTAAATGTTTACATCTTCTAGGAGATTAAGTGAGAGAGAAAGGATTGGTGAATTGGGAGCTCCTGAAGTATGGGGACTTTCTCCAAAGAATCCCGAACCAGAGTAAGTGGTTTAAAAATATCTTATTAAACTATGTTACAAACCAGGCATGGTGGTGGACATCCGTGATGCCAGCACTCCAAACACTGAGGCAGGAGGACCACTGTGAGTTCAAGGCCAGCCTGGGCTACAGTAGTGGGTTCAAGGCCACCCTGAAATAAGTAGCGAAACCTTGTCTCAAAAAACATATGTTATGAGCCAAGCGTGGTGGGTGCACTCAGTGTAATCCCAGCACTCGGGAGGCTGAGGCAGGAGGATCGTTGTGAGTTTGAGACCAGCCTGGACTACAAAGTGAGCTCAAGGCCAGCCTGGACTGCATAGCGAGACCCTGTCTCAAAACGACAAAAAAAAAGTTACAGCAATAATTTAAATCCTGAGCATACTGTGAAAAGTTTGGTTACATAAGGAACTTTACATCTCATTTTGTTTTTCTTCTTTCATGTGATTTATGCTGTTGTGATCATGAAATTTTTAAAAACCTGGAACATAGCCAAGGATTACACATGTTGCTGGAAAAAGAACTAAAAAGAATTAAGATGTATGTTGTATATGTATCAATTCATGATGAATGCAATCATTATGTACTACAAACATATACTAATAAAAATTTTTAATTAATTAAAAATGAATAAACATGTTGCTAGGGAATTTGAGCACACTAATTATTCTCTTTAAGCTGTCGCTTATGGGGTGCTAATTTCCTGTTCATAGAAATGCCCAGTGTTTAATGTGTTCATATTATTTTGAATTTTTTTCTCAACTCAGAGCAGATTGCATGCTAAATATTAGTATTATAAAAAGACTTCTGGAAATGAGTATACCAGTATGGTTTGGTTTAGTTCATTTTCCTATATCCTGTACTATCTGAAGTTGCTGCTCTACCATTTGTCTTTTACATACTTAGAATAAAGTCATTGAGCTGAAGATATAACTCAGTGATAGAGGGCTTGCTAGCAGGGACAAGGCACTGGGTTTGATCCCAATTGCACACACCCCCAAAAATGAATAAAATCATGACGTCTTCCAGTTTCTTTGTCTTTCAATTTCTTTCATCTTCCCTTATTTGTCTATTTTTACCTTGTGATTTCTTATGAAAATATAAATCTTCCGTGTTGCTTTGTTTGAATAGCACTTTGTCTATAGCATTAAGCAAATGTAAGTTGTTTTATTATTATGAAGATATGAAACCTTGATATATACTCTTAGAAAACTGATTCAGCCAGAGATATAGCTCAGTGGCACAGCACCTGCCTGGCAAGTGCAAGGTCCTGAGTTCAATTCCTGGTACCAAAAAACCAAAAACAAACAAACAAAAAACAAAAGTGATTCACTGTTTGCTCTTTTCTTGGACAATCAGGACTGTAACTGAAAAATTTTTAAGGCCATGTCCATATTCAGTGCTCCATATTTCATCACTTTTCTGATTCTTACAACCATTTTCTTTAAATTCAGCTCTGATGAACATACACCAGTAGAGGATGAAGAGCCAAAGAAAAGCACTACTTCAGCATCTAGTTCAGAAGGTATTTTTTAAATATAGAACTTTCTAATTGATGAGTTTAAAAAGTAAGTTTATATTCCCAGCACTAAGGAAGCTGAGGCAGAAAGATTGCTACAAGTTCAAGGCCAGCCTGGGCTCTGTAGTGAGTTTGAGGCCAGCCTAGACTACATAGCAAGACCCTGTCTCAAAAAACAAAAAAAAGTAAGTTTATAAATAGTTAAAGAGTAGACTTTGCTTTTACTCAAGTTCTCGATTATGTGTTATTCCGTATTTCAAATACAATAAAGTTCATGTTCACAAATACTTGTTTAGAAGTTAGGTTTTTATTTGTTTTTTTTTACAGATGAAAAGAAGAAAAGGTCTACTCATTCAAAAGAAAGGTCCAAGAAAAGGAGAAAGAAGAAATCATCTAAAAGAAAACACAAGAAATATTCTGGAGACAGCGACAGTGACTCTGATTCTGAAACAGACTCCAGTGGTGAGAAAGCCAATATCATAATGCAAGCCTTGCCTCATCTCGAGTTTGACTTTGCAGAAGTCATTGTAGATGAAGGGTTCTTGAAACAGTAGTAGCCCAGAGTTTCCAGACACTTGTTGACTTTGTGCCAGGGACCGTGCTAAGTGCT